GACATGGGGCAGGAATAGAAGCAGCTGTCAAATCCTAACCTCTAAACCTGGCTCACACATCAACTTGCTCCGGAGCTTATGCAAGATATGTGTACATTCTCCCACTGGGAAAGTATTGGTAATTACAGGCACTCTAGCTGCATCATGATTTTATTGAGGCTTAGTTAATTAGGCAGGCATTGCCCCTAAAATATGAGACAAATTGAGAGTGAGATCCAAAAGCGCATGGAGGTTCCCCTGTCTAGATGGGAGATCCACAAAATCCTCTTTGAACGCTTTGCGCTCCTGAGAGTCTGTAATTATTGCCAGTTTTTGCCTAAAGATATGCCTAAAGGCCCCACCATCTTGGTTAGATTACCGAGGCCGGCATCTTGCATACAGGTAATTGCATTTGGGATTCACAAGGAAGACGGAGCAGCAGCACAGTTCCTTAAGGGAGGCTCTGAGCAAACCTACCACAGACAGACACCACCACATTCATTACAAATCGCAGCATGCCAGCCATTTATGTTAATAGCAAAGCCAAAGGAAGAGGGCCTTTACATTACAGCAAACAGCAGGAGGTTTTGCTTATCGGAACTTCCAAATTGTTACCTCCACACAAGCAGTTGGCACTAGTCAGGTGACAGAGTGAGGCCAGAGAGGTGGCAGAAGAAGGCTGGTGGATGCAAGAGCAGGTTGTGAGACGGAGGAACTGGATGGGGAAGGAGGTGAAAATTTCATTGCAGTGGTGTGTGGTAGGAAGGCAGTGGGGACACCACTTGGAAAGTAGTGGGAGATTTTGGGGTGCAACAGGACGATCGCTTAGAAGTGAATGGAGGCACACTGGAGGTATTTGCAGGCTGACAAGTAACCAATATTCACTCCAATTGCTATGAGCCTCCTAGCAAGTCATTGTTAATGGTAATCACAGCCACAGGTGCTCCTGCCAACTGCATCTAGACAAAATACCTTTGGAAAGACCAAGCCTAGGGATTACATCCTTCAGCAGAAGCTAGGAGACTGATGGCACTTCCTTCTCAGCCCAAGGGAATGCAAACTCATAGCTTTCGGCACCCAAGTAAGAGCCTGAAGCACGAGGCTACATCCCAATGAGATGGGCTGCCATGCAAAGGAGATGGCTAGACTGACTGATGAGCTGGGAGCAGGCCTGTTCCTCCGGAGAACACCTAGAAGCCCGGAGTCCTGGCCCAGATCCTCACTCCAAGCAATTTGCGGATCTATGAACTTCACCTGGCAAGACAGCGATTGCAAATCCATAAACACCACTAAGGGCTGGAAACAACAAGGAGCTTCCCTGACTCAGTGAGCTCCCTTCTCTCATGCTCATGGGTAAGGCTTGCATCTTCTTTCTCCACAGGTCTCAGCTCCAGGAGGAGATGCGCACAGCCTCTCTTCATGCAGGTGGAACGCTTCAGAAATTGGAAAAATAGACTTTATTTTTACATTGTTCGCAGTGAGAAATTAGAGCTATTTACTGGACTGCAATGAAGCACTCCTTTTCAGCTATATATATCAAAAAAGGGATTCTTGATTCCACAGCAATCTCAGGAGAAAAATTAATTAGATGAGCACAGAATTGCACTAGTTCTGCTCTGGCCTCATAATAATAGTTTTTCAATTTGACAAATTAAGTTAAAGATA